ATATATATATATATATATATATAATTTTTTATTTATTTATTTTTTATAACTTTATAAGCAACTTACACAAAATTGAATTTTCATCATATAAGTAATTTTTTACTTGTAATTAATTTTTTATTTATAAAGTTTTTTTTTTCTTAGAAATAATTTATTGTATTTTATTTGCTAAGTAATTTTGAACAAAATATGTGAATTGAAAATAATTATTTTATAGAAGGTAAAAATTGAAGATCACTTTTTTGGGAGTGATAAAATACTCCATAAATTATACTATACCGCTTTTGGGTATGGTGAAAAATAAAAAAGAAAATCTCAAGCAGGCCTTTAGAGGTCTAGGCTTTTCTTCTTTCTTTTTCCCCTTTCTAGATGTTACAGAAAAAGAAATACTGAGCAAAAAGCTTCCCATATGACACGTTGACATGGTAAACATCTCCTGTACTAGATCAACTTTCTGGCAATGGAAATCTCGGATTCTCGGCTTGCTGCATGGTCTTTCTTCTTCATTTTTTCTCTTGAAAGGAGATGGAAGATGGATGAAATCCCCTCATGATGTATCCTTACCGCTCATGAAACTCCAACTCCATAATCCACCCTCATCATATCCATATGACTGATGGGTTACCTAGAGAACTTACATTGCTAGACCAGCTTCATCCTACAGTAAGTAGGTACAACTTTATAAGACAACTGCAACGTTTTTCCTCGTTTTGGTTGGTTTGTCGACTAGGCTCGTCAAGTTCAATGCTAGACGCCTTGAACCACCTTTATCCTACGACATTTAGATTCAATTTTCCTAGACATAACTGTAAAAATTGCCATTGTCATGTCCGGGGTGGTTGAATTGTTCATCCGAGGTCAAGTTTAATGAGAAATGTTTTATCTACAGCTGGGGTACACAACAAAATCCCCCACTTAAAGATGTATGGTGTTTGAAAAGAAAAGAATTTTCAAGACGAGTTAGTTTTGCAGTGCAAAGTCATTGCACTAATTTTAGGACTACATTAAACCGGCACTGGAATAGTGTGTAATTTTCTTATGGGGGCTTATGTTTTTGACGAAGTCCTCTATGCAATTTTATTTGATAATCTGTTCACTAGCTTTTCTATCAGGGTTAACTGTAGAAATGCCTCAACTTTGATTAAATCTCATTGGTATGCTCTTAAATTTAAATAACAGAAGGTCCTTGTACATTCTTGACAAAAAATTGCATGCAATTGTCATTGAAGTCAGCCTCTGAGGTACCAATTTCTCTTTCCCTCCCTCGTTCTTGCTAATTTTGGCCATCAAAAATTTCAGATAAACTGCGCTGTTATCCCTCGAGAAGGATCGAACATCAATGAGGCTGAGGTATCAATATTTTGCAAGAAAAATCTTGCAGCGTTCAAGGTTCCAAAAAGGATTTTCATCGCCAACTCCCTTCCGAAAACTGCCACTGGGAAAATCCAGCGACGTATTGTAGCTGAGCACTTCCTTGCACAAATTTCTACAGCCAAAGTCCCAAAATTTGGAGCTTAAAAAGCACTGCCCTATAATCATACTTCGTATTGCATCAACTGCAAGGGGAAATAAGTGCAAAAGTTTTCCTTTGATAGCCAGACTTTCAAATTCCAGCAGCGTGGATAAATTTGGCAAGAATACTATAAGAGCACTGTCATTTTTAGTGTATATATGCAACATTATTTCTCCGCCTGGTTTTCATTTTAGTGTCTAAGCTTCTGATGCATACACTATACACTTCATTGTTGTTATGAGACAATGTGACCTTGTTTGGCTTAGTCTAGAAAAAGATAAACTTATAAGTAATGTCACGGCAAGTAAAAAGTGATTAACCTAGATCTCATTAACATCCAAAAAAAGTAACATGTAGTTTATATGCTCAACTGAACGAAACAGAGGAAATTGGAGATGGAGAGGCATTCCCAATAGCACCAGTAATTCCGACCCCTACTAACCATTGAAAAGTGAAAAACAAACCATTTATAAAAAAAATTTAAAATATCAAGATCCAATGGAAGATAAAATTTTAGGCCTCCTCTTCAGCATACTCTTCGTCTTCATAATCATAACCTTCCTCGTCTGCTGCTGCATCTTGATATTGCTGGTACTCAGAAACTAAATCGTTCATGTTACTTTCGGCCTCCGTAAACTCCATCTCATCCATCCCCTCTCCAGTATACCAATGCAAGAAAGCCTTTCTACGGAACATAGCTGTGAACTGCTCACTCACCCTCCGGAACATCTCTTGAATTGATGTTGAGTTTCCAATGAAAGTAGAAGCCATCTTCAGACCGGTAGGAGGAATATCACAAACGGTAGACTTCACGTTGTTTGGGATCCATTCGACAAAGTAAGACGAGTTCTTGTTTTGTACATTAATCATTTGCTCGTCAACCTCCTTGGTACTCATCTTGCCGCGGAACATGGCTGAGGCTGTCAAATAACGGCCATGGCGAGGATCAGCTGCACACATCATATTTTTTGCATCCCACATTTGTTGGGTCAGTTCGGGAACAGTGAGGGCTCGGTATTGTTGCGATCCACGAGATGTGAGCGGAGCAAAGCCAACCATGAAGAAGTGAAGCCGAGGGAATGGAATGAGGTTGACGGCAAGCTTGCGAAGATCAGAGTTGAGTTGACCCGGGAAGCGAAGGCAGCAAGTTACGCCACTCATGGTAGCAGAAATGAGATGGTTCAGGTCTCCAACTGGTCCCAGAAAAAGATCGTGTTCATCAAAAGGGAATCAAATGCTGTTAAAAGTAGATCAAAGACGACGCATGCACAGGCCTTGTGTAACAGATTTCAAAGAATATCAAAAAATAAATTTAAGAAGACACCTGACCTTCCGAAAACAACTATATAGGGTATTATTTACAATAATACAATATAAATTGATCTAAGCACCACGAATTCTGAATATGTTCAAAAAAAAATAAATAAATAAATAAATAAATAGAGGCAAAACCTAAAAAAAATAGCTCGGGAATCTACCATGCATAGACACAGAATACAAAATACATTCCTTGTCACAATTCTAGTGGATATGAGTTGATAAAACTCAAAACAACAACTTACAGCTTGGAGTTGTGAGTTTCAGGGTTCGGAAGCAAATCTCGTAGAGTGCTTCATTGTCTAAAACCATACACTCGTCAGCATTCTCAACAAGTTGGTGGACGGAGAGAGTAGCATTATAGGGCTCAACAACAGTGTCCGATACCTTAGGGGATGGGAAAACAGAGAATGTAAGCATCATGCGATCTGGGTACTCTTCCCGAATCTTAGATATGAGAAGAGTTCCCATTCCTGATCCCGTTCCACCTCCCAATGAGTGGCACACTTGAAAACCTGAAAAATTCAGATAAAGATGTTTACCATCACTTCAGTCAAATGAGGATCATAAACACACGGCAAAGCAATTCCCCAAATGGCTAGGGTGGAAGTAATTAAGATAAAAGAAAAGATAGTGGACATGTAAGTTTTTATTATTTATGAACCTGACTGTACTCTTTAGTGTGTAAAGGTTATGCTGTATGCAAAAATTCTTATAGCTAGATATTGTCAAATCCTTCCCCAAAACAACTACACGAGCAAAGACGGATTGAATTGACTCCTCGAAACAAGACTTAGAAATTATTTTCTGTTCAGATTTGAATTGGTTTTCAATCTCTAGGCTCAAATCTTGCTGGTGTGCAGTAATTCCAATGATCTTGTGAAAAATTATACATCCCCAATTTGGTTTATTAGTAACAAAAATGTAGAACTAATTATGGAAAAAAAACAAATTTAAGACCCCAAACAATATCTATGAATAAATAGATGGGAGAATTTCATATAAATAAGAAAATGCTTATCCACAAGATCTGCTCGTACACATATCATACTCAAATGCCATCTCAAACATCCAAACTAACACAAATTAGTGAAATGAAAAAAGTGAAAATACTAAAAAATTTATAGGTCTTGAATATAGTGAATACACAAATGTGGATTTCAAATACAAAATGCAAACAGACTACATTTACGGATTTACTGCACATATGCATTAAAATCATCAATTAATTTTATACAAGTAGCATGACTCGTCATCAATTAATCTACTTAAAGTCATACTCCTATACTTCAACTTAAGTTTAAAAAATAATAAAATAAGAAAAACTTAAAATAGATAAATAAATAGATAAATGGAACAACACAAAATTGCAAGATCAACTCAACTCTCCATAGAACCTTCCAAAATCTATATATAAAACGTGAATTTAATACTACATAGTAACCATTTGAAAGCAGAAAAAATCAATTTCAATAGCAATTGCAAAAATCAAGGTAAGGTAAGGTAATAGTCAGTAATAAACAAAATAAAACAAAGAAATCCATCCTTAAAATCACCAGATCTACTTAAAAAGGGACTCTCAAGACCACTTCAGAAAACTACTTACACATAGATGTATATTCATATTTCACATACCAAACTACTTTAAAATTATTTGCTACTGCAAGACACAAACCATCTTCAAAAATTAAAAAAAGTTGGAAAAATCATTATAGAATTAGTGGTAGTACCTTGGAGGCAATCACAATTTTCAGCCTCTTTTCTCACAACGTCGAGAACCGAATCAATGAGCTCCGCTCCCTCAGTGTAATGCCCCTTCGCCCAATTATTTCCGGCGCCGGACTGCCCGAAAACAAAGTTATCCGGCCGGAAGATTTGCCCGTACGGCCCCGATCTGACGCTGTCCATCGTTCCAGGCTCGAGGTCCATGAGGACGGCACGTGGGACGAACCTTCCGCCACTAGCTTCATTGTAGTACACGTTCACGCGTTCAAGTTGCAAATCATTGTCACCACTGTACCTTCCGGTGGAATCAATCCCGTGCTCCGCGCACACGACCTCCCAGAACTTGGCGCCGATCTGGTTGCCGCATTGGCCTCCTTGGATATGCAAGATTTCACGCATTGTGGAGTTGTACGGTAGGAGATGGTGATACAGACAGGAATATGTATGTAAAGGCTGAGGGAGAAATTGCAAGAGAGAGAATTGACTAATTGAGGGTTTGAATTTGATGGTCTGTTATATAGGGGAAATGTGTTTTAATTGGGAATTTCCGAATTTTGAAAATTTGCATCAATTTCAAATATTGTTTTTACGAAAAAAGGCAAATCTAACCGTCGGGGAGAATTAGCGCGCTGAGTCACGTGGAGAAGTTGTGAGTTGGCGAAAGGGCACACGTGATTCGATAGTGGGTCGTGTGCTACCGAGTTATATACGAAGAACTTTGTTATTTGTACATTTTTCTTTTGATATCATTGTTGATATTGTCTATATTTTTAAAAAATTATAAGCGAGAAAACTATTTTTCTTTTAAATTGACGAATGACAATTTGTGGCAAACTCTCAAACTTGCTATACACAGTCATCGAGCATGATTGGAGTTATATATATGATGGTGCTAAAAAGTGAAAATCTAGAAAAGAAGACTCGGTTTGGTATAACTTAAAATCTTGATAAACATTTGAATCAAAGTTAATAATTAATTTTAAGCACTTATGGATCCATAATTTTTCAACCATATATTTTACCAATTTTTATCAAATTTTACATAAAATCTGACATTTTACCTATATCAAACAAGAGCTAAATCTCTCCTCTAAATTATTATTAGTAAGCTTTTATAAATTTTTTTGAACAGAAATCGTAGCTTAAAATTAAGAAAATGTGTGAATGATTATGAGTGAATAGTCTCTCTTTAATCATAATGTTAAGATCAAACTCATTTTTATTAAAGGGAGGAGTTCAATCCAAAACCTTTGCTGATTTGAAAAGCCTAATCAAGAGTAATCGCGGGTGAGAGGGCAAAAATAGGGGGGAAAGTAGCTCGCTCTACAAGGTTCTGCCGACAAAGACGACAAGTTCTAACATATCCCGAAACTTGATGACAAAGGAGTCGGCGACCGAAGTGCCGATGAACAGTGGCCATAAGTATTAACGGTTTGTGAGGAGATTAAAATGTGTATTTACAAAATTTATTGTTTTGTTTTTTTATTCTCAGTGCCAGTAGTATAGTAAAATATGCACTATATTAATAATTAATCAACAAAATATGTCAAATTCAAGGTATAGATTATTAATAAAAAAGATACACATAATATCAAAAATTATAGGTACTTATGGAGTATTGAGAATATCCAAAGTCGTATTAGGAGTCTAAATTTTTCTCTTTAAAAGTTTAAAATATGCCATATGCTGATAATTATTACTATGTGAAGGGAGGTCAACAAGACGAGACCTATAAAAACTGCAACTTATTATAGTGTTGAGTTTATTTTTATTTATATCTTGCATGAGTTGAGAATATATTTTTCTTAATAAGTATATGGAGATTATTTTTTGTATAAAGTATCACTATAGAAAGGTCAACTATAATTTTAAATATGTGATTAAAATTAAAATTTGGCTTTAATTGAATAGTAGAAGTAACTTTTGAGTGTTTCTCAAATATCGGATAACATTATAAAATTAAAATTGGATGTGCACAAATTAATATGAAAATTGAGAGTATGTTTGGCAAATATTTATAATCCTTGTTAAAAATTCAATTACTTTTCAGTCACATATTTCATCGATCAATTAATATTATCCACTTATTCATTATTTATTTTCATATATTTATAAACACTTGTCAAACATAATCTAATTATTATTATTTAATTTTTTACTTTTGTGATCAGGTCAAGTGTGATCTTTTAGATACAATTATATTGCCAAAAATTATTGGCATGCTATCTATGTATGTTCGTGTATCCAAGTGCATAGGCAGTATTACCCGTTAAGTATTTATCCAACGACATGCTAAGGTTATTACTAGCAATGCATGCTTGTTTGATTTAAGCATGTCAAATATATTTTTTATTGTAATATTTTGTAGAATTTATAGCGTTTTATTTATTTATTTTGTGTTCACACATTTTATGAAATTCACAATTTATAAACACTTAGTCCTTGTTTGGCTTCCATTAAATTCCATTACATTTTTCTTTCTCCTATTTTTAATTACATAATCTTTCATAAAATAATATTACACGTAAATCGAAAATTTTTCATTCTTTTTCAACCACTCATTTTTCAAAAAAATACTATTCCACTCATTTTCATTTTTCGAAAATAGGGGCCAAACGGGGGCTTAAATACACTACTAAGCCCATGTTTGAGCTCCATTAAAACAATATTTTGGGGGGAAAACTTGTTCTGGAATAGTAATTTTTTGGAAAATATGTAGTTAAAAAATAATAATAATATTTTAATTTACGCGTAAAATTATTTTATGAAAAAAATGTGCAGTTGCTGATAAATTTTGGAAATATGTATTTTTAGAAAAATTGAGCCCAATCAAGGGCTGATATTCTCTAAATTTTAAAATGTTTGTACTAAAAATGAGGCATATGGTAGCAGAAGTGCTATTCACTCTGAGACAGTGGGGTGGGTGGGTGATGACCCCATAAGAATAAGATTTTGGCAGAAAAAGCAGAAAAGGAGTGGTGGAGTGAGAGTAGATGTGATCATTGAACCAAACTTGGGAATAAAGCAAGGAATACAAACGTGAAACCTTCAATTGCTTATGTGATGTGTAGATATAAGATAGTTATAAGAATAATGCTCTTTGTGATTACTCATCATTACAGTCGTACTACGTGATATACATATGGTTATTAGTGATTTGTTGTATAAAATAATAAAAAAACTATCACATTAATATATCAATCACTAATCGCTATATGTATGTTACATAGGGCGATTACGGCTGTGAGCGACTACAAACAGCATTACTCTAGTTATGATGCAAATATTTTCACTCTGGGCCTCAACTTTTTTTCCCCTTTCTTTCAGCTGAGTCCTTAATTGTTTAAAATTATCGTACTTTGATCTCCGAAGGCGATTTTTCCCCCTTTTTGAAAGTTCTCATAAGGCGATTTTTGTCGACTTAAAATAACGGATTTTTTTGTTATACAATTTTGTTACCTTTATTCTCAATTGAAATTACAAAAAGAAAAATAAAATTAAAACTAATTAAAAAATTCTCTCTCAATATACCCCTTCTTCCTATTCCCAAGTTGTCAATATGAGGAGGGTGAAACCATATTTATTGTAACGTTATATTTCATGATTTGAAGGTATTAGCCTGGTGGTGTGTGACTCAAAAATAATATTTATAACCCGCGCTACTAAAAATTTTGAAAATTCTCTAAATATCAGAGAGTGAAATGATTTACTATTATTTTTTTTTTTACTCAAATGATTTATCAGTGTATAGTGGTTCGTATTTACCATTAGGAGTGAACCAAGGTTCGATTCACTGATTTCTTGATTGGAGGAGTTGGTCTTGATTTAGGAACTATTGACGAAATAGCAGATTGATAACTTGAATTATTCTTTCCATTCCTTCTTTTTTTTTTTTTGGTTAAAATATTTTGTAATTACTTATTTCATCTCTCAAACAATATTTTATACATGTTGCATGTGACTTTACAACTATCTAATATATTGAAATCATGTAACGGACATATAATTGTTGCGAACTTGAAAAGTTGAATGCAAGAACAAAAATTATGAACCCAAAATGTCACATTATGTATAGGTTAGGGATTCAAACTGTAAACTTTCCTATTTCAGAATTTTGATTTGAGAAATAATAACCATAACAACTATTTGTTTTGATATATGATTTGAGTTTTATTAGTATAAGCTTTGCAACAAGTTTATACACAATGCACTTGTTTGTTTACATTATACTTTCATTATAATTTAAAGGACAAAGTCGGAGACAGTATATCAAAACTTTGTAATTTTGGTTCTTTTCTTTCGTCACATTTCTTCAAAAGGTTAAGGTAGATGTCACATCAAACTGTTCACACGATTTATTTGAGATACGAATAAAAAATAAAAGAAATATAATGCAAATTCATGGTTACTTTTTTCTTACACATCTAAGCTTAATTTGTGCATGTGATGTGTCCATGCTTAGGAAGAAAAAGTCGGTAAAATTTTCATAATGAAATGAAAGTACAGGACCATTGCTAATTTTGAAACTTAATAGAACAATCTGTTGAAAAAATAATTAGTTGCAGTAATGTTCAGAACAATAAAATGCGGAATTATAAAATTTATCGTTCGATCGAGTCTCGTGACAACACGATGTCCTAAAGTGAAATTGTCCTTCGATAGTTGCTGCGACCTCTGTAGACAATCACTCCTAGGATACAACGATTGTAAACCACTTGTATAACAATCACGAATAGTTTTTTCAGAACTCTCAATTGTACTCCATAATATATGTAAAAATCCGAGTATAAGAAATTCAGAATATGAAAATGAAGGATTGATGCAAGATGAAACAGTCTCCACTATAATCAGAGAGTAATGCAGAATTTTAATGACTGAGTAGTGGTATTTTAATGACTGTGAGTGAGTTGTTACAAAAACAAACGGTCAGAAAATATTGGCTAGTTTTACCCATTAAATAATAATAAAAATTATTTTAGTCAAGGAAGCCCAAAGCCTCAATCAAGACATTTTAATATTTGCGTGGGGAGTGACTTGAGCCCTTGATATCCCACAGGGGATGCCACATTTTCCATCACTTTGGCACGCTATCTAATTTGATTATTTCTTTCACATTTTATATTTATACCATAAATATATAACACAATCCAATGTGAATTACAACAAAAATTCCTTTATCAATGCTTGCAAGCGAAAAGGTGAAAAATTCAAGCCAAAACATATAAAATTAGAGAAGGCTGAAGAATGAAAAGAACTACGATACTGTGAGCACGTTTAGCTCTGCTTCTTTATACAAGAGAAGTAGCTTTTTCATCAAAATTGACTAAAAATTTGATCTTCTTTCATTGATAAGACAATTCTTACTAGTAAAAGAATCATGTTTTTAAATACTGTTGTGGCATTTCAACTACGACAAACAAGCTTTTAGTGTGCACGCTCTTTTACAATATCAATGCTCATTTCACTGGGATCAGTTGCTTGCAGTTCAACTTGAATTCCATCCAATTCCCTCTTAAACCTGTCCTTTGTACTTGCATACACCATTTTCATTCTGATTTTAGAGGTTTCTGGTGACCTGAAATTCCATTTTTGTGCATATTAGGTTAATAAAATGAAATGAGCATGTTTGATGCATAATATGGACACTATAATAAACAAGAATTTAAATTCTTTTTTTTTTTTTCCTTTTTTGCCCAAAACATTATTGAATCATATTCCATACTTTGTGCAAAGCTTGCTAAAAGGGTACTCCCAAGTCATCCCAAAATTCATGTACTTGTGTTTATTACATGCACTTGGCATATCTATCATGCTATACAGACATCACAGAATGTTATTCACGATTAGATAAGATTAAAAAATATAGATATGTTTAATTTTTACGCGTTGTTATGTTTAATTTAAATATCTATACATTCCTTGAATATATTATATTTTATTAAGCATGCCTTGAGTGTTCCATGAATTGGATAGGACAACAAAGAAATATATCACGTGTCTTTCTTCTTCAATTTTGTTAGTATAACATGTCAAACAAGTTCAAGGTGTATATTAAACTAGATAGAATTGAATGATTAACCAAGAGAGATATATGTTTTTTCTGTTTAGTTTAAAGTGCCAAACATACCTTCACGAGTTCACCCTAAAAAAACTTATAAATAAATAAATAAAATATCTCAAAGGACATTAGACTAGACACGGAAACAAACAACAACTCACATGCTTCTACTTTTTAGTTATGTACAATATTATTTAGTCTAACATACCATTCTCAATATACGTAAGACTAAACACTATTAAAGAACATAATATTTTGAGGTGCTCTCTCATTTTCATGTGTTGGGGAGTAACAGTACCACTTTTAAGACCATGGTTTCACTCATTAAAGGTTGATATGCTCTCACTTGACATGAACTGATTTTTAGATGAATTGATCAAAGCCCGATCTTACATCATGTCCTAATTAACGTATACTTTTAACATACCACATATTTCCTTAGTGTACATTAAACTTGACTAGATAACCAACAAATAATTCATCTACCTGTGTTATTGACAAAGGCATGAGGGTGCAAAGGTGGTGCAACTCTACAAAGTCTCAGTATTGTCGGGCAATACAATTTTTTTTTTTTTTGTTATATATAATAATTTTAAAAAAATCAATTATTTTTATTATTATTAAGGTAGTTAAATGGCATAATATTTATGGAAAAAGAGGCCCCATTTTAAAATGTCGCCGGACACTCAAAATCTCAAGCCCTACCCTGATTATAGAGGGTCAACCTCATTCAGTCTCCAACATTACCGTCGAAATATAAAAACTTCACAAAAAGTCAAGCACGCAACAGAAATGCAATTGATGTATATATATCTATATGTTAAGTAGCATACCAAGCAACGAAGAAAATCTTGCTTTTCTGGCAATTCTCATTAGTAGTGAAGTCGAAATCATAGACAGCATAACGACATTCATTTGTAGGCAGAGAGGCAGTGAAATCATCATAACTGTCTTGAGGATCCCCAAGTTTCTCCACAATAACTTGTTGATTCTCAATCTTGAATACTATGTAACGATAGTTTCTTTTTGTTTTTAATTCCAAGAATTTCAGTTTGCATTCATCATGGACTGCCATTCCAGATGCAGAATTTGCCTGCCAAAATTAATAGAAACACAAGAGAAAGAGAGAAAATTATTCGTAATTTTTATCGACAGAATAAATTGTCATGTTGAGTACGTACAAGATTTAAACGGTTGTATGCAACCTCTCCTCAATAGTTTTAAGGTTTTAGGTTGTATGGTATTGAGAAACTCAAGTGTTATAAAATATTGCGTAGATGTATGCAAGACAAAAGAAAGTCAATTCATGCTTGGACGTTATTGAAAACTAATGAAATGGGTAAATTCTTAGAAATGTATTCCTTTCTTTTTCGTTAAATTTCGCTGAGGTTATTTGACGTAAATTTTCATAAAGAGGTGGATGGTATGTTTAGAATTAGAAGAAAATTGTTTTATCTAGTCCCCGTTTGGTGTAGCTAAAAATTTAATTTTTAAAAGATTTTGATAAAAGTTAATAAAATGTATAATTGAAAAGTTGTGAGTTCCATAAAATGCGTGGTTCAACTTAATTATTGACTTTAACATAGATTTTTAACTACACCAAATAGGGGACTAGTACCATGTTTGACTACTTTTTCTAAATGTTGAATTTTTTATAAAGATAATTATCATTTTCTACAAATTTAATCAAATTGTTTTTAATAAGTGAGAACGAGACAGAAACTAGGACGTGTGATAAAAATTAAACCAAAAAAAGTTATACCATTGCTAGTACATAAAGACCTAAATAAAATGTTAACAATACATACTTTTAGATAATTTTCATTGAAATTTGATCGATCCCATAAAATAAAAATTAATATCGCACAAAATTTGTATGCATGACAAATTAATACGATATACAATTCATTATCACTTAAAACAAAAATTATATACGTGTGATGAATCCTATTTTATAAGAAGACGACAAATTTGTATGCATAACAAATACGATTTAAAATTCTTTATCATTACAAACAAAAAATATATGTGCTTTGAATCATATTATATAAGAAACCGACAAATGTTTACATATGACAATTTCAATGTATAATTCATTATCCTCATAAATCAGAAGCAAAAATTATCTAAGTCATGAATCATACATTTCTAAGAATACAATATAAAAACCATTATCATAAAAAAACAAAAATCATACATGTCGTATGAACATGATGCGCAAATGCAAAAATAAAACAATCGAAGAGAAAGGAAAGCATGAGTACCATGTTGTCTTCCAAAAAAGAGTAGAACGAGCTTCAAAACAATGTGGAATGGAGAAAATAAAGGGAGATGGCATAACAAGGAAGGTGGATCCAAGAGAGGAGAAGTTAGGCTGTTTTAAAATGGGAGAAAAATATGGAGAATAAGAGAACTTTTAGGAAGAAAATAAGGGTTAACAATTATCAATCCTTTTTGGTTCATAATTCATGTCCATACAAATTAACATTTCTTTCTTCACATCACATCAAACCATGCATGCACGCATGTATCGATGTGGGAGTGTGCATACAAAATTTAAGGGTGTCAATTTGGCTAGTCAGTTTTGGTGGTTTGTGGCTCAAATTGAGCCTCATTTTGGGACGTCGGCTCGAGCTAGCTCGTGGAGCCTAAATAAATAAATCTGCAGAATTTGAAAAAAAAAAATTATTTAGCTACTTGCTACTGCCTATTAAGAGAGAGATTTGGCTCGGCTCGGCTTGCTAAGTCCTAAGTTGAAAGCTCAGGTAGAGCCTAAATTTTTTGACTAAGCAAAAACTCGTCTCGGCTCGAACCAAAAAAGTTCGAACAATTTTTACTCGAGCCAAGCCCGAACTTCGAGTTTCAGCTCGCGAGCCAGATTGACTCGACTCAATTCGACTTGTTGACATCCCCAACAAAATCTTATTGAATGATTTGAGGCAGCCAATTGGTCTGGTTCGATTCCTATAACGTTCATAGTTATAGGAATAATCAATATGCACATATTTTGACTTTATGTTTTCAAAATTAAATTTTACCCTAAATTTTTTCAATTTAAATTTTGATCATAGGATATCTTAATTTAATTAGTCACGTTGTGGAAAGCAAAATAAGTTGTTTTTAATGATTCAATCAATAATTATAAAGGTCAGTGGCGGATCCAGGTACGACCGCCCTCGCTGGATCCGTCAGAATGTTCATTATTGCAGTCATTAGCAAGCTTTTCTGCCGGGAAGAAACTCGGAATGCAGAGCTGCAACGCAAAGATGAAGAAGATACTGGGAAATTGGGCCTACATTTTCCCCCATTTTGGGCCTCTTTTTAAACAAAATTAGGCCCAAATCCAATGGCCCAATACCTTGAAATTAATGGACGGCTGGAGTGGATATATGTCCATTGCATTCACCAATTTGAAGAGTCCAAACTCCAAAATTGAAACCAATTAACCAAGCTAAATAGAACTACTGAAGGCGAAGGGCGATTGCGATGAGCCGAAGACAGTGGACTGGTGCGGGGTAGAGTGGTGCGAGTTGAGTGGATGGTGATTCGGTGTTGGTGATCATTGAGCCGTGAGCGACGAGGAGATGGACGATGGAGTGGTGCGATCGTGCGAGTTGAGTGGACGCGGATGGCTGCGAGTGCGACTTCTTGCCTTGGTGAGCTATTCTGGCTTTTATTATATTTTTTTCTTTTTGATTTTGATGATTTAATTTGATTGTAATGTTAAATGTGATGATTATGATTTATGAAAATTGGGGACTTTGTAAATTTTGTAAATATGTGAATTGGGAATTTTATGATTTGTGAGAAATGTTCAATTTGTGTTGGAAATTAGAAATTAGAAATTGATGATAGTTTAAGTCTTTAAGATTGAGTTTAATTTTCATACAGATTATGTTAACGGGAAAATTACTGCCGATCTTGATTCTTGAGGTTAATCGACACTTTTGTCTTCATTTTAAATTTTTTTTGGCATTGAGGTGAGGTCCCTGTATGATGAATAAATGAGAATTGTGATTTATGATTTATGATAAATAATTTATGTTGTATGAGTTATGAGTTATAATTTATCATTCATGATATTTGGTTTGTGATTTGGGAATTTAGGTTTAGGAAATTATATTGATGTCATCTAAGTTTATAGTATCGTTCCTATTTTTTTTTAATATTTGGGTTGTATTAAATTATATTTTCATATGTAGATACTTTTTATGTTTTAGTGTCCTTATATATGTATTGAATTATATTTACTATCGTTGATTGTCAACAGTCACGGGTCAGTGGTCAATCTCTCCGCCCTAACTGAACTACAATGTTGGATTTGCCACTGATAAAGATTGTGAATAATGGGTGAAAATCCACAACTTTGGTTATAAACTCTCCCTCGATTCATCCCTCAAGAAGAATTGCGAAATCATTTGACGCTTCACCTATAGATTGAATTGGCCAAATATTATAGTTACTAGTTTTCATTTTATTTACATTTTATATGATATACTATTAAACATATGTTATGCATAAAATAGTAACAACATTTTGGCACATTAACTGCACAATCAACCACCATTACCAGACAACCTTAGCCCAACCAGGCATGTATTCCGACCAATATTAGGTCAGATGGGCTTGGATCACCCAGCGAGCAATATATAAATTAACTAAAATACTTTCCTAATTCCAAATACAATTTAAATGTTTTTTTTATTATAATAATATCAGTTTTATTACTTTTTGAAATGTATTTTATAACACGCTGTGTTATAGTTTGTAGTATTCTATTACACACATTTTACCGTCTGATTCTGCCACTGTCGATAGCTGACTTTGGCCCACCACTTATAACAATAAATGTTACACTTCCAATCCACCATCGTCATCGTTCTTACTATAACACAATGTAATACAACCATGGTCACTATTATAAAACAAATAGAACAGCACTATCATACCTATGTATCATAATATTATACTGCAAAAATCGTCACCACCATAGACATCACACACCACAATAAAAACCACAAAACGATCATTACTACCAAGAAATTGAAACAATGATATGAAGCCCTTGTTTGACAACCATTAAAATGAATGGTTAAATAATGATTTTTTGGAGATTAATGAATGGTTAAAAAGTAGGAAAAAGTTTTAGATTTACGTGCAAATTTTATCGTGAAAATATGTAGTTGAAAATGAAAATCGTCAAAAAAGGGCAAAACTTCAGTGTTTTCTAGAATGTAGTAGCCGAAAGTTTTGCAATGTAGATCTAGGATTTTTGAGAAATTTCGAAATAATTGCTCAATAAATAATAGAAAGGAGGAGAGGAGTGGTATTTCTCTAGAGTTTCCACCGTTGCTATCATCTCCGTCTCGCCGAAAATCGAAGGGATCCGACGACGAGTCAGACACTGTTGGCAGACCTGTGTGATTTATTTGTCATCTGCGTGTACTACATTATTTATGGAATTAAATTCTTTGATAGTAAGTGTGGAATTTTAAAACTTATTGGGATGTGTAGCGTAATTCACACTATCCGTAATGGTTGTAATTACAATAAATCAGAATTTTTAAGATTCAGTTTCAAAAGGCAAATATAAAGTTTGTTCATATAAAAATCAGCTATTAATTCAAATATTTAACATTAATAATACCACCGTAATTCATCGCAAACCCCAATTATTCTCCCCTTCCGTTCCTCTCTATACATCCCTCAGTACCCATCTCTTTCACACGGAGCCGGCATCCCCTCTCCTCTCTCCATACTCATCTCTCTATACCCATATCTCTATCTCAAACATCACAGTAGTCGGCATCCTGTTCCTAGCCACCATTTTCATCTCTGATAAGTAGCGTTGGGGCATTGCGGCTCCCAATTTTTTCGGGTGCTATTGCCAATTTGAGGAGTTTGTTCTTCCAACATCTAGTTCCCAGCTGCTGTCTTTATTCAATTCTCTAGTTTTTGGTGTGTGTTTGGTTGGTGGTGGTTGTGACGTTGGTGTGGTATTTGGTGTTTAGTTCTTCCGACATCCTATTCCTAGCCACCGTCTTCATATTTTTGGATCCGATTTTTCGTGTTTGGTATTTAGTTGGTGGTGGTTTTGATGTTGGTTGCAACGGCAAGGTGGTAGCTCCATTGGCGGTTTGTTGAGTTGGTGGAGATGGTGGTTGTGGTAGTAGCGCAACGTTGCGGTTGCTGCATAGTCACGACCTGGTTGTGCAATGGCATTATTTTGAATTTAATTTTTTGGTGGTGTTTGGGTGGTGGTGGTGATGTTGGCTATGGTGGTTATGCTGGTAGTGATCATGATAGTGGTGCGGATGGGATGGAATACGTGGGGGTGCTTGTAACCCATTATTTGATTAATTGTGATGGTAAATTGGTTAATTTCACGACAAGTAAATAATATGTAACCTAAAAAATATGGTTGTGATTCACAATTTATTAAGTTGTGATTGAGAAATAATTTATAACTAATTAATTTGATAACTATGATTGTTAAATAAATTGTGACTTATAAAACATGTGGTTTGTAATCGATACACAAATTCTGAGCTATAAAATTTTTTATTTGTGATCGAGTAATAATTTGTGACCTATAAGTACGTAACCGTGATCCTAAATTTTATAATTGTGACTTTAATATATTTAATTAATAAAATATATTTTTAATTAATTGTCATAAATAAATTTCAATTGATATATGATTTTTGAAGTTTTTAATTTATTTCTTGGTTTTGAAATAGGTCATAATTAATCCATTAGTCATGAAGTTTTTCTTTCGTAGCCCAGTCCAACCCCATTTGAGCCCAAAGGCATACCATGAGATCAAACACATAAATTTCCATGTACTCGTAACTTGTAAAATACGTACAAATACCTTATAAATGCATGAGTTTTGAATTCACAGCACGCTTCTTTGAATGAAAGATTCAATTACTTAACATTGCCTAATCCAGCTAATGCCAAACAAGATATGACCAAACATAGCTGTTTTGGTCCAATTAATTTTATGATCAATTCATGCAACAATTTCGTTACGTTACCCCAGTTGTCTGCCTAATGTCACACGACATATCTTTGTTTTTCCTAGGATGTTTTTTATGAAAAACAAACAGGGTTTTGCTTTGGGGAGGTGATAAAGAGATACCCCTACCCCTACCCCAATATAGTTTCTGGTTTAAGAACCTAATCCCTCTCGTATAAACCATTATAAAGAACTTTAAAATCTTCATTTTTTAACTAGAGCTCTAGCTCATACGTACTTTGAAGGATCAACATTAACGATGTCTGTGAGTTTATCTTTCTTAACTTCTTTTCCCTCAAGAAAATTGAGAATAACGATATATATATGCAGTAGAATTTGATCATGTCACGTGGTTCCGTCTTAAAAAATAAACGATCTTGTTAAGAGCACATTTATTATTATTTTTGAAATATGAGACGTTTAATTTTTACTCTTACATGTGGGATTTTGTAGATGGAGGTGAATGTTCCAAACTTGGATTGTGAATGATGTGCTTCGAAGCTTAGAAAAGCTCTATTCAAGCTCGAAGGCGAGTTTTTCCTATTTCTTTTGAAGCAAAGATTTGAATAGAATCAAATCGTTCTTTTGAATAGAAGCCACAATATTTTCCAAATTTTGACTTTTTTACGATTTTACTAACATAAATCCAGGATTGAGGGACGTAGATATTGAGATGGAAATACAGAAAATTACAGTGACAGGCTGCGGTTTAGAGGAAAGGAAGGTGTCAAAGGCAATTAAAAGGGCAGGAAAAACAGCAGAGCCATGGCCATATCCATATCCAGGGTACTCATATGTTGCTGATCATTATGACACCTGGAGAGATGCAGATGATCAAAGTATAAATACCTTTGTTCAAACTCCTGCTGCTGATTACTCACTTCCTGTGGTTTCCCTATTCAGTGATGATAATCCACACGCATGCGCCATTATGTGATCATGCTTTGGTTTAACTCTTTTTAGTCTTATATTTTATGTTTACGTACGACGTCACTACAAAAAAAGGGCTCTATCGACCAAAGGTTTTGCGACCAATAAAACACGCTTGCTATAGGACACGTTCAACAACCAACAAATGGTTGGTATCGATTTTGGTCTAGTAAAATTGGACTAATTTTTTTATGTTCTATTGCAACCAAATTTTGGTCGTTGATTCAAAGAATTAGGGACAATACATTTGATTGGTTGGTAAATGTAGTACGAAAAAAGAGCAAAAATTTCCCCGCGTATGAAACCCACTCTAGTAACCACAGAATAGTCCCTAAGCCTAATCTTCTGCAACCACCAAAGTGATGGCCGCTAAAACATTTGGCGAAATAAAATCCAACCTTTTTCATTTGATTTTTGCATTTTCTAGCGACCAAAAGTGATGGTTGCTGTACCACACCAAAATAGCAACCACATAATGGTCCCTAAACCTAGTCTTCTGCATCCATCGATGTTGTGGTCACTAAAACATTTGACGCAATAAAATTCTGCCTTTTTCAATTGATTTTTGCATTTTCTAATGATTAAAAGTGTAGGATGCTGAATACTGCACCACTCCAGCGACCAATGAATGGTCCCTGAATCTAATTTTTTGCAACCATTCATACCCTAGTAACTAAAACATTTGGCACAATAAAATCCCACTTTTTTTTAATCGGTTTTGGCATTTTCTAGCGACCAAAAAATGAGGTTGCTAAACACTACACTACAATAGCGACCACTAAATGGTTCTTGATCCTAGTCTTCTGCAACTAATGTTTTCAAATCCGAACTGGACCGGCCGGTTAGACCGAAAAAACCATGACCCGGTCAGAAAATTGGTTCGATTGTTATCTTGTAACGGGAGATACAAAAACCGGTAAAAGGACCGGTTCAACGTGAAATGGTGAACTGGACACGGTTTTGCCTAGTTTTCTGTCCTGGGTGCAATGGAAAAAAAGGGAAGAGAAAGAACATAGAGAAAAGAAATGTCAATAAACGCTTCTCTGACTTGCGCAAGTTATGTGAAAAATCGTCCATCAATTCAAGCCACCGGGAAAATGAGAGGGAAGAAGATGCCGGAAAAGATGAGAGGGAAGCCGCTGCCTACGAACACACGTTTTGACTTTTACAGTGATTTCCCGGTTTATAACATTGTCGGGCCTTTCTATTTTATATGTACGTTTATACTCTTCTTTTGGGCCAGTTAACTTTTATGTGATATGTGATGAAATAATTATTAAAATATAATTTACAAATATTAAAAACTTATAAAAAAAATCAACTTAATGTTAATTTTTAAAAAAGTTTATATTGATATATTAATTTATTTTTTAATAGTACAAATCTTTATAAGATTTAAATAACTTAATTTCCAAGTTGATCTTGTATAACCTCGGTTTGACCATTCAACCCTTGACCCTCGTAATTTTTCGGATCAATGCCCGGTCCGATTTTGAAAACATTGTTTGCAACCACTCCTATCTTGGTTGTTAAAATAGTTGGCACAACTATATTCCACTTTTTTTTTTTTTTTTTTTTTTTTTTTTTTTTTTTTTTTTTTTTTTTTTTGGTGATTTTTGCATTTTTTTTTTAGCAACCAAAAGTAATGGTTGTTGCATATCACAATAGCGACAACTAAATGGTCACTGATCCTAATTTTCTGCAACCACTCCTATGCATATTTGATCAAATGGATTAAATAGTAATATGCTATTACAAAAATGAACAAGAACTATTGTATTTAATACTATGCCTCTGTTTGATTTCGATAAAAATTAAATTTTTAGTAGATTATGATAAAAATAAAATAAAATTGTGGATTTCATGAAATATATGGTTAAAATTAATTATTGACGTTGACTCAAATTTTAATCAACTTTTTTTTTCTTTTTAACCAAACCAAATGAGGGCGATTTACTTAGACCAAACAATTGACATAGGTAATCTCAAATTTATTGAAACTAAGCTTTGGTTGGTTGTTGTTTTTAGTTATTTTTGTCCTTCACTTGATATATAAGATGTGTCCATAGAATCAGGGGTTTTTGTTTGCAAGATTATTCTAAACGAGTAGTGTTATTTATCGCCATTGGTACTAAGCAATGGTTTAGGTGATAGCATATGATAGATCCAATTAAATAAATTTATAATTAGACTTATTATTTAATGTCATCTATATGTCACGTAGAGTGATATTCTAATACAAATGGTGTTAAATAACATTATTTTTATTATTCTAAACTTTAAGGTCACATTTAGCTAAGATGTTTGTCGTATCAAAGTATCATAAAAATATTATTTAGAAGTTCTCTATACAAGTTTATTTTGTATAGTTTAGACCTTTCATCTGTTAAATAACCAAAAGGCTAACATGCTTAATAGATAATATGATCAGAAAGATTTAGTGTATTATTTTCATCATTCAGCTGGATAAAATGAGTCTATTGAATTAATCGTACTTTCTAAATGGGAATTTTCAAAGTAACAGTAAGAAAAAGCCAATTGTATAAAGGGGAATTATCAAAAATGTCACTTTTTTGTGAGAAATGTCCAACTTATCCTTCATGTCCCCTTTTAGGAGCATTTAATGATATGTTCCAATCCAATTAATGTTATATTTGATTAATTAAATTTATATATTCTAATCATTGGTTATATATATATATATATATATATATTCTACTGTATAATATGAATCTACTTTAAAAAAAAAAAAAATTAGTAAAAAACCTATTTAACATCTAAGAAATATATTCAACAAACCCTCATTTCATCCATCTTCTTCATTCCTTGATCAATAAGACATTACTATTGATTCATCATCCATTTTGAGAGATTAGTTATTACCAATTTTTTTATTTTTTATCGAATAGCTTACTCTTTTTTAAATGATAAAAACAACATGATCATCAAAGTGAATAATGCTTTTGAAACTACTATTAATCATGATACTCCTCATTTCTGAAATATTTTTTAAAGGAAAAGATACCAAAAGATTTATGTAAATGTTAAGTGGTAGCAACTTTATCAAACCAGCTTTTATCTGCATTTGAATCATATTGCACAGTGGTAGCAGCCTTACCAAACCAAAGTCGAAGTACGTGCTGGTGATTAAATTGTCGAACATAGAAATGTGAAGAATAATACTACGCATTAACAAATATTCTGACTTCATTCAATAACGTCGAACGATGAACAACCATTGCATATCTCATATAAATTCATTGTTTCTCCTGTCATCCCAAGTAATGTGAAAAGCAATCATACATTATAGATAAATAAGCAATAATAACATTAATCTAATCAAAGTTATCATGGAAGTCAATCTATGAATGCAATTTGTCATAATCGTCCTCGTGCACATAGATCTCTACCCACTTCATGTGGGTAGCCAAAATGACATTTCAAGGCGAAAATGAATTCATCAATCAAGCATAATGAACAAAAAATGCGAAACAAACCAATGAAACTGGAACACAGAAAATGAATGCATCAATCAAGCATAAACAACGATAAATCAATCAACAAATCATGAGATCATAGCATTTCATACATGTTAATGTGAAACACACGTGCAATGTTGGAACCAAAGTTCAAATTGTGGAACTGAGCTTAGGTAAAGAAAGGAATTGTCGTTCCCGATAGTTCATCTGTCGAAAACTTTATCTGATCTATCGATGAGTCTATCTGTTATGCCGTTATTTCACCCTGACACATTGTCATTTCATTTCGGACATTTTGTCATTTCATTCTGACACAATACACAGGTTTTGTACAAAGATATATAAGGTATTCAAATAATTCATAGGGTCAAAAATGTCCTAAATTGACATTTTTGATAGAAAATTTGAAAGGTGACATTTTTGATAATGCATAGCTAAAATTTGACACCCAATGAAATTTCCTCTTGTATAAAAAAGAAAAAAAAATCATACTAATCTTTTTCAAGTAAACTATCTTAGCAACACCACCGTTGTCATGGCAATCACCACCATGTGATGTGACCATTTTGTATCATCTAATTAATATATTTGTGGAAATTATCAAAATAGTTAACTTTTGGATTTTCATTTACAAAAATGTCACTTTTTTAAACTCGTTACAAAATTGTCAATTTTGATCTTTTGCCCCTTTGGCTAATTTCAATTCCTTCTATGTCCTTCATTAAATGACAGATGACTAGACTATGAAATGTCAGGTTACAAGTCCCAGACAAAATTCTTTCCTTTTCCCGTTTCTCTCTTGTTTCAAATTTATCGTCACAGATTCATCTACAACGTTTAATTTGTCTCTCTAAATTCTGCAACACTACGTAGAGCGCTCGAGTTTTCTGAAAGAGGGAAAATCTGAATTGAAATGGGACAGCATTCATTAATTTAAAGCTTCGTGAAACTTCCGGCTACTAACAAGAAGTTTACTTATGACTGTGATGGCCACACCTTCAACTACCTTGTAGCGGATGGCTTCACGTTTAGTGTTGTTGCCTTTCAATCTGTTGGCAGACAGATTCTATGGCATTTCTCGAGCGAATTAAGGAGGATTTCACCAAAAATATATGGTGGGGGAAAGGCTTCTAAGGCTGTTGCTAACAGCCTGAATAGAGAATTTGGGCCCAATTTGAAGGAGCAAATGCAATACTGTGTGGATCATCCTGAGGAGATCAGCAAGCTTGCAAAGGTGAAAGCTCAGGTTTCAGAAGTCAAAGGGTTGATGATGGAAAATATTGAGAATGTTCTTGACCGTGGAGAGAAAATCGAGCTGCTGGTAGATAAAATTGATAACCTTAGCTCTCAGGCGCAACATTTTAGGACACAAGGAAGATTTTCTTGGCCATCCTCCTTATCACTTTCCTCCCCCTTCCACAAGGATGGCCATGAATCAGCTCTCCAAATTGTTGCTTACGACAGATTTTGATGAGTATGAATCGAAAGTGTCTAGATCTCAATATACTTGCTATTTATTTCCTCTTGT